TTTATTTATTTATTTGTGTTTTTAACGAAGGTTCCTTGTATTTCAACATTATTATTATTACTATCATCAAATCTAGATGTTTATACTTGTATTAATTCTACCGCTATATAACTCTAGTTTCTTTGTTCACGTATGCTTTGATGAAGATTACTCATTTAATAATGACGTTAACAGATTGTCACTCAACGACTAAAGATCGTATGTTTGTTGAAAGTCAATTTAACAAAATGTGTGTGTGTGTGTGTGGGTATGAGTACATTTAACAACTCAAGGACATTAAGTGAATAATTTAGACAATAAGAACTAGATAAAATATAACAATGACGTATTGTGTAGGATAGGAATTCAATCAACCCAGTGATTACACCTCAAGTATGGCTACAAAGATTGCAAATAAAGCAAAAATGAGTTTTAAAGTACTTTAGATCTATTTATGACAATTGAAATTAGATTAGAATAGAATATCAGTAACAGTTTCACGAAGTATATATTATAATGTTGATTTGAAAAAATATATTCCACTGGTTATTTTCAACAGCTTACAACCTCAGGATAACTTCAATACCTACAAGCTGTATTGATATAGGATTGAAAATAATTCAAGTTAAGTGACTTGTTGGAAGGAAAAAGAAGCCTTACATTGACAAGAAAAACATCAAATGAGTACAAATCAAGCATGAGAGAGATAGAGAGGCAAGGTAAGGAGGGGAACTATACTATAGTGGTAAAACACATCCCCCCTCCGGAAAATAGCCTATTTCACTCTTGATTACATACATTTCTAGTTTCAGCTGTTGAATAGTAATCATGTTGCGTCGATGAAATCGAATAATAAGTTTACTGCTTAACGGACGGTGTATTTTTGTATGTGTCTTCAGAGATCCAATCACCCGACTTTTATGTCTCTCTGTGTGATTACGTGTGTGATAACCATCACGATTTAGATGATTTTTTGAAAAGAAGTTCTGTAAATGACTTATTAGTGATTTGCATGAATTGTGATCAAGATTCGACAGAAGAGTTTTAAAATAATTGGGTGACGAGTGAGAAGTAGACATTTGTAAAATCTCAGCGAAATTAAAATGAGTAATTTAAACGTTTCGTCCGTTCAGGAAATTAATAGAAATTAAAATAACAAAGATTAATTAATATATAGAACTTTTAGTTGAACGTAATCACTAGAATTCTGATGCAAAAGTACACTCTGTTTAAGGTGTTCAACAAAAGTAGACTAATATTTGTAAGTTTGAGGTCGAATTTTGATCACAATTCATACAGTTTTGTTTGTTTGTTATACATGTTGATGCCTGTTTCATGACTCATATGATCAGACAAAGTTTTTTGAAGACGAGATGTCCTTTTCATATATAAACCTTTGTTATTTTAATTTCGACTAAATTCCTTGAAGTTTGCGCCACGTGATATAAAAATAAATATATGTATATATATTACGTAGTGATATAAAAACGTTATTTTATATTCTTTCTCATCATTCAGAATTTAAGTGTAAATGAAAAGGGACACTTTGATTAGGAACATTTAATTAAAAACAAACATATTGCGGACAATACAGAGAAATAAGAAAGCGCACATCAATATATGTGTAAAACTTGGGCACTGTGGTAGTAAGTAATCCCATATTAGTTTGTTTATCAGACATATCACACAGAGCTTCCAATGTTAGATTGCAGCGTAAAAGGAAAAGAAGATAGGAAGTTAATTACTAATGTTTACAGAAAACCCACACATTCAAACAGATATTTGGACTTCCGATCATCCCACCTTATGTCAGTAGAAATAGGATTGATGAAATCTTTAAGTGACAGAGCACAAAAACTAAGTAGTACCAGGGAAGTGATACATATAAGAGAAGCCTTGAAACTTAGTGATTAACCTGATACATTAGTTAGGAAATATGTAGGGAAATGTAAAAATAAAATAAATAATGATAGTAGAGATAGTGATAATCATGATAATATTATTATTAACGATGACATGCGTGTCAAACATGTGCAAGACAATGACAACACCAACAATAAGGAATCTAAATCATCAGTAGTAATTCCATACAAGGAAGAAACCTCGGAAAACTTACGTAGGATTCTTAACAAGGCAGTGGTAAAAGTGACCGGCATTCAAACCCACGAACTCAATCAGAAACAAGCTTTGTCGGTTAAAAGATGGATCCTGTGGAACTAATTAAACAAGACAATTTAGTTTATCTAATGCGCTGTTTGCAATGACTGTCAGGTCAAAGTAGCAGAACAGGTGCAGTTAGACTAGCGAAGCATAAAAAGCTAGCAAAATTTAGATTGGTTGACCCGAATAAGATAAGGAATCTGGAGAATAGTTCAGCTATACACTCACTACATGCAGTTACACACAACCATACAATAGGCTGGATGAGATAGGATGACAGTTTTAAAATCTAATGTTACAGCAAGGTGGAGGGAGAGAGTGATAACAACGGAAGCTTTGTTTATCGAATCACCGGGATATACGTGTGATAGGAATGATTCAACACTTGTCCAGTCGGATATCTGGAAAATTCTACTACCCATAAGACGACAACAAATAGGAGAGAACAAAGAAAACTATAAAACTCAAGTTTCGAAGTCGCGTGATTATAATTGGTGGTATGATTATGAACAATCATAACTTGTTTTTGGAACTTAGCTATCCAATAAATAATACTGTTTTTCTACTATATGATATATCTAATAAGGAAACTAATACGAAAGATAGCGCATGGTAACAGTACCCGATATTTTCTTACACAAACATACTATAAATTCTATTAAAGAGGATGAAGCTTTTGCTCGATCTACTATGATGATAACATCTCTTATCTTTGATCTTAAAGATTTTGTAGAGTTGAAGTAAGCGTTTATTCATAATTATTTCTTCAAATAAGTTATAGATAATTCCAAATAATTTAATGTTTAATAGAGTTAGTATAACTGAATACTTTGCGAACTGTCGAATTATTATCAATGTTTCAATATATCATATATGTCGGTGTTTATATATATATATATATATATATATATATATATATATATATATATATATATATATATATATATCAGTCTCAACGAATAAGTTCTGCTAGTTATTGATAGTGAATGATGTTTGATAATCACATCTAAGTAGGAGGTAACTGGCTTCAGACTTAAACATACAAAAACTGCATCTTTATTGTCCTGTGCAAGTATTATGTGTGACTTATTTCATCACAGATGCTTCAGTTTCTACTCCTATCCTAGTAACTTCCCTTCACACTGGTGTATTTTTTTGGAGAGTGGGAGGTACACTCTAAAACCACTCTGTTAGACAGTGCACATAGGTATCTTTAGTCATTTTAAGTGATAGTTACACAGTTATTTGTGGGTTGGAAATATAGTAATAATTATTATAATAATATTCATGGGCCATTAAATCAGGTTCCAGTGGTTGAATGGTCTACGAGCTTGACTTGCAACTGGAAAGTCCTGGTTTCAAACCCTGGCGGTGGGTGCTTACTGCCACAGAGTCCCAAATCAAGGGGGCAATCAGAACAGCTCTCCAATACTCCCAGCTAGTTGGTTTTCAATGGCTCTTTAACTGATATCAAGCAGTCTGCGTGGTCGAGCTTGGAACATATCAAATCCCGACGGTCTAACAAAAAAATAATATTGACTACTGGATGTTATGGAACCATTTACAAGAAGTACTACTGAAAAAAGGTATCTTACAGTTCAACATAGTTTTAAACGGAAATAATGATTGTCTTGTGGAGATGGCACTTTATCATAGAGTACTTGATGAAATCAGATGAAACTGATGTCGGTTATTTTTTTCTCCCTTTTTTTACTTCAATATTTCTTTGAGCGTTTTTCTCCCCCTTGGTTCTTTCTTATAACATAAAGGTACATGGCTTGTGGAAATATATATGTATATATGTAACACATTGTTCTAACTGGTAAAGTGTTACTTAAGTGAAATTTAGCATCTTATCTGAACTTCATTTCAAACAGACTTGTTATGATAGAGCATTAATAAAGAGTCACCTTGTTTCTCGGTGGGTTTTCTTCGGGAAGTAGGCTGGTTGACAATAAAAGATGCTTAGATAATTAATGTAATAATTCGCATTGTAATAACATTAAGAACGACAATATTATTCAGCGAAGAGACTCTTTTCAAGGGATTTTATTATCAAGCTGTACAATCGTATACATATGTGATTTTTAAGAAATTATATTCCGTGAGGAAATTGGAACAAAGGTGGGAATACTTATAGTAGTAGTATGAAATGCAATTAAAATATTTGTGATTATAATCACAGTTAAATATCAAGTATTAAGTGACAAAACAAATAATGTCATACACATAGAATAGTTCATAGGATGTATAGATGTTGGAAGGGGATATATAGTTAGATAGACAGTATAAAACGTTACATAACATGGTATGAAATATACTAAGATAGAATTCAACATTACAAAACAAAATTTTGGATTTAGAATGACAAGTGGAATAATACTGGAAACAGATCAAGGTGAGAATATTAACAATGACAATAATGATAATAATAATCTTAGTAACCAGGGGAAGGTATATAGATCAACCAGATAGACAAAATAAAAAATATAAATAAATAAATGTTTATCCCTCTAAGGTCAAGGTAGAAATATGAATTGTACATGCTTCTTTTGTATACAAACATCTGCTTTGAATTCATGAATGCTTAAGGACTCCCCCGAAATTCTTTCCATCCAAGCCAACAGACGATATTGCTTTCCGTGTGCTTAGGATGGAAGATTTTTCTTGAGTGGTTTCATTGGAAACCCCTGCTAATTATAGTGTTGTAGTGCATTGTTATGGTGGTTTAATGACAAGTTATATTTTTTTCGTGAACTTTTCAGATGAAATTTTGCATTAAAATATTGTTCCCTGGCGTGCATACTCTATCAGTGACATCATGTGCTTGAAGTGAGTTACATTTGCTGCGCTTTCGTCATAAATTTTTTGCTTGTTGCTGATATCTATGCAATTGGATGGATCAAAGGAGAAAGTAAGTTGAAGAGTTAAATGCGTATATATTTGAATTTTGATGAAATCATACTGGTATATTGTGACCTATTTATTTAGACAGCCTAATACCCACTGGATGAGGCGTATTGTGATACTTCAGAAGAGGGATAGGCCATATAATGCCCCCCCCCTCATTCTTTAACTGAAGCGCATAGGACACTTAAGGGTTAGCTTAATCACTCGTGAAGATATGGGGTTTTCTTATATTCCACATGTATGTTAGATAAACAAACCTTTTGTTTCAATGATACTAAATATATCCAAAAACACTCTTTGTGTATATAATGTATCCAGACCTTAGATGTTGCAAATTTCATGGGATAGTTTCAGCGCCAAGTTATTTTAAAATTACTCATAAAAATGATGGTTCCAGTGTATTTAACAAATTAAAACAAGATTTTCTTCCTGAATATTTTTACTGTGTAAGCCACAGCTTCTTCTGTGGCAGAATTAATCTGATTTCTACTGGGATTATCTTTTTAAGCGGCTTTATAATGAGTAGTGAAATAACTTACTTTGGTTATGAATTAATGAAAGTTTACTCAAAATAATAATTTCCTAATTTTGGCAATATTCTAACAAAATTTCTTTATATATCGTTACATCAGTCGTTGAAATTGTGTCTGTTTATAAAAACAGATAATGCGTCATTCATCTGAAATAAATTTTTAGTTATTATGTAATTTTTCCCTGGTGTCCTTCAGACAATTGAAAGTCGTCCTTTGATACTGCTCTTGGTCACTCTTACTTCTCTGTTCACTTCAATCAGTAAGTAGTGTTTGTCAGTCAGGTAGTAGACGCGATGTAAATACCAGGCGACTGTTACACCTGTTTGGAGGTTGTTCAGCTCATCCTCCATGTACTAAAACACTAACTTGACTGGAAGATTTGCATCAAGACGAACTTCACCTTGAACTGTGTCCTTCACAAATAAGTAGTTCAGCGTTTAAAAAAAAAATAACATCAGTTAGTCTAAAGTTTTTGATAAGTGAAATCAGATTATGTATTGAGATGTTTAACTTCAATAAGTTTGAATACCTACCATTTATCAAGAAAAGAAACTGCTATGCAAATTCAATTACAGTAGTCACCTTCTTTTACTAGTACACATAAAATGCTGAATATCTTAACATGTAATCTTTACTTATATATATCTGTTGGCATATACATGAGTACATGGAGCCTACTCAAGCCAAGTCAAAATGATGTTAACTCATTGACATAAGTATCATTTGTTTAATTATTATTGTTGTTGTTTCCTTTAATTCCCAAGGGGACATAGGGCTTCAGCCGCACGTCTCCATTGCCTTCGGTTCTCCACCAACATTTTCAGACCTGGCTCCACATCTGCTAACATACTTTTATCTCCTCTTCACATGTGACCTCCTCCATGTCACCCTTGCATTGACCACCAACTAACTCACTGCTTTCCATTCGGGTTCCACTCGAGCTTTGGCCTGGCTTGTCTAAGGCCAGACTCATTAGCCATGTATTTTAATTTACTTAAACCTTTTTTCTCTTTACGATACATTAATGATAAATGAGAAGTATCCAAGTGCTTGGAAAGATTGATGCCTCACATGGATAATATGTACTGACTTAATTGTCTTTCATGAGTGAGATGTCTAATGTACAAAGCTTCTCTCTTGTAAAGTCTGCACTGAATATGCTGTCTGGAATGACAATGAAACAATCCCTTGTGGCATTTTTCTTTCGTTCCCGAGAGCTGTAAGCCATTTAAAAAATATGCGTGAGTACATTTGGTGATCCACGAACATAAAATATTGAATGGCTAAAACAAAGAGAAGCAGAGAACACTTTATGTGCCATGTGTTAGATATAGAAATTCAGATAACCCCGGTATGATTAAAACAGGCCGCCAAATCATCCAACTCAGAGGAGGCAACTACACCAGCAAAATATCTACGTATCTAAACATTTATACAATACCTATTTAATAATTTTCTTTTAAAACTTTTAGACTGTTACAACTCTCAGAGAGATTTACAACTAATCTTGTTGGATTCAAATGAAGTTTTACAATTCACTGCATTTACATCATTGTGTCAAGTGTGTAAATAAGCTTTTGAAATGAAATTACAGAAGAATGCAGTCATTTGACTTTTGTCAAAGTATATCAAAATTCACACTCCATTTTGATGATTGTTAGGTTTAATATTGTAAAATAACATTCAATAACTGAATAGATTATGCCTTTATATCTTAGCTACTCAAAATATATATATGCCCCATCTATTACACCAATTGCAAGTCGGTCCTTCTATACAGGTCAGAAACTTGCACTGCATGTCACAAAAGGGATTTCCAACAGCCTGTTGCAGACTTTCATCAACAAGATCAAATGGCCAAAAAGAATTAGCAACAAGAAACTCTGGCTGGGAACAAACCAACAGGCGAGAGCCGATTGTTGTTGTGCGTCGGTGGCACAGTGGTTAGGACTCTCGCCGACCATGCACATGGTCCGGAGTTCGAGCCCGCGCAGACGCACACCTGATATCTATGGTTGGCCTGCGAATTTCGGGCTACCGATATCCACGCTGAAAATTCCCCACTTGTACCAAAAATACGGTGTGGAATCAAGCTGTAATCAAAAATAAAAAAAATTTAAAAAAATATGTAAGAGAAAATGACGATGGATTGATGTAACGTACATTGAGGAGGTCATCGAATGACATACCACTCCAGGCCATCGATGCAGGGGAATCCAAATTGGAAGCAATGAGTGGGTCTTCCGTATGAGGGTGACATAGAGGAGATTGTGTGGCGAGGAGGAGGAAGAGGTGAGAGAGAATGGGCAATCGGGTAGCAGCTGGCCAGCTGAAGAAGACGGTAGAAAACAGAAGAAAGTGGAGTTCTGTTGTTGAAGCCAGTCCTATGTCCCACTGGGAGCCCAAGGGAATAGTAATAATAATAATAATAATTACAGACTAAATCAAACATACTCGCTGATGAAATTGCCTGACGCCAGTCACTCTAAAATCTCAAATTGATGGAAGTTAGAATTCATAGACTCTGGCCATTGGCAAGTGCAGTCCGATTAACTGAATAGTACACAAGCTTACCTTATAACTAGAAAGTCTTTGGTTCAAAACCCTGGCAGTAGATGCGTACTGTCGATGAGTCCCAAACCATGGGGAACCCAAAACAGCTGTCCAATACTCCCAACTGGGTTGGTTTTCAATTGGTTGGTCAAACTAGAAACAAATCAAATCCTTTCTACAAACTAACTTATGGAAATTCAAACATCTTAGTTTGTTTCAATAATCTATGTGTAGTATGTTTTGATATACAATATGTCTTGAGGGCAGACACTTATATTTGTTATTTTCATTGAATAATCCAAATGTTTTATTGTTCCTACTACCTGTTTTAACATGTTTTTCTAAGAGTTTGCGGGGTAAATTTAACATTCTTTCGGATTCCTACGCTTTACCACTTGTTACCAACACATCTGCCTAACTGTGACGACAACAACAACTATAGGATAAAAGTAGGTCATTATATATATATTAAAATATGCTTATAAAAAAGCTTGTCTTCACACCACTTAATATAACTTACTACTGAAGTGAGAATTGATTGTTTACATTAAGAATAAAGCATTGTAACATATGGTATTTATATGCGTGTGTGTGCGCGCCACATGATTCCACTTTAAGGTCTCATGACTGTCATACATTTGTTTCTTTGCTCAGCTGTTGTTATTGTTGTTGTATTTACAGCGCTAAAACTCTCTCTCTCTTTCCTTCTAGCTTTTCTCTACCGGTCATGTGAGATATTTTCAAGGTACTGACTGACTTTATTGATGGGTTGTATGTATTTCATTTTTTCAGTACAAAGCAAATTTGCCTGTCATTGTCAGTTTATTGTAATGGAACAAAGTGAGGGTTTTTGTTTTACTGTCGTTGAAATTTTACTCGTAACATGTTTGAATAGAAGTCCGGTTAGAGATGGGTTACACTCACCTATGAGATTGGCTAATGGCTGTGCTATTATATATCGTGAGTCGGTAGAGGTTGGAATTCATGCGCTATTGAATCAGGTCCCAGTGGCTGAATGATCTACGGGCTCGCATTGTAGGTCTTGGGTTCGAGTCCTGGCTTGTAGACTATTAAGCCACTGGGACCTTATCCAATGAGCAACCCATGAATTCCAACTTCTGCCAATAGCGCGACCACTAGCCAGTGTCTTCGGCGAGTATTTGTCCTCACACCTGACCTTCTGCTGCACCCTACTGGTCACGACTTCGCACTAGAAGAACCCAAGGTAACTGCCTACCTGAATAGGGCCAGTCGCTAGTGAGCATTTCATTGGTATTTTATTTGACTAGTCGGAGGATTCTACAATGAGCTGACATCGGTTAGAGAACCATTGGCTTGGAAAATCTGCCGGGAGTACTGGACAGCTGTTTCGTCAGCCTAGTTTGAGACTCTACAGCATATAATCATTGTGTGGAATAAAGAAACATTTTTAGAAGTACTGCACCAAAAAAAACACAACAAAATTATCGATGGAGAGAGACAGGTATGGATAGATGAATGGACATATGGGCAAAGACATATGTATCAGTCCTTTTTTAATTTAGTAATTTTTAAGACTTATTGGATAATTTAAAATTTTCAGCGGTCAATTTAAAAGCATAACTGACATCTGATATTGTGATACATTTTTCGTGTCCAACTTTTAGTTCATTTATTACAGGATGTTTATTGTGTATCTGAACAGCCTAGAAATAATTTGGCAGAAAAAATATCAATCATTAAATATGAATGACAGGTTGCTTTTGTGTGGAAAATGCTTTCAAAATAAGAAAGTACAACAACAACAACTACTACTATCCCCGTTAATTCTTATCTTATCTCTCCTTTGTTTCCTTTTTGTTCAACTTTATACTACATATTACTAACTGGCAAATAGTATGACTTTTCGCGCATTTATTTCCCTTGATGAATTTGAATAAAGCAAGAACAACAGTGGTGGTTTGTACAGAATACATATGGTACCATCATTTATTTCGTTGGCTTCTCATCAGCCGCTGCTTACAGCCTAAATAAATGACGTACAGAAAAGTTTTGACATACTTGCGAATTTTTCACGATGTCAGTTGACAGAAAGTTCCACAATTAGTAAAAAGTGCTCAGAAAATCGCGCTTATATAGTTTTCACACAGGCAGTTCAAGTTTAAACAAAATAAATGTATGCATACAATGGTAAAGGAGTTACGTAATAAAAACAAAATATGCCTTACATGCAGAGTGACTAATAAATTAGGTAACGATGTACTGAGTTCAACTCACGTCATAGAGACACGAGACAAGCAAAATTACAGATTATACAAAAAGGGAGATGAGATTAAAGGCAAAGATTACGTAATCAGATGAGAGAATAAAGACATCCACTTACCAGGACGGGCAAGGAAAGACTAATAACTGCTTCTTTCTGAACACATAAATCTGGTTTCAAGCGTTTGATAGAAATTTCTTCGGCAGACTTGAGGAGAATGGAACTCCTTTGTCTATTGATCATTTTAAAGGATTTCTCGATTTCCACCTCATGACCCGTGTCGAGGAGATGTCTGATAATTGCGGTAATAATGGTATGACTTTTGTATATTTCTTTGTTGATATATGGTTGCTTTCTAACAATAACTATTGTTTTTCATTGAATTTTATCTCACTTAATGTTGCACTAACACATTTTATTTTATTTGTAGTAATTACTTTCTTCTTAGAGTTAAAAGATATCTCTTGTAAATGCCTTAGTTATATTCCACTCTATGTGATGATCATTGTTCATTCTATTCCCTTTACACCCCTATCTGGACATTTGCGGCGCGCTGATTAATATTGATTGTGGATCGCCTTTGACCCCCCCCGCCCACACACACAGAGCTCTGTTGTTATTTCTTACTCAAGACGGTGATAGTGTGTTCTACAGCACTCAGCCTTAGGCGTATCGCAATTTGAGTATCGTATTTTTAGACGAACGTTGCGTTTTTGAATCTTACGCCTAACTTACACGTTTGGTTTATTTAATCAAAAGTTGGATTTTTGAGAATGAATGTACAACTACTATTATTACGTTTAGTAGTATCAATAGTTACTACCTTACTTGACAGATTTTCTTGAATAAAACCATGAGGGGAGGGGGTGTGTGGTTAAATGATCTAGGCTCTTGGCTTTTAACCACAATGTCAACGGTTCAAACCTCTCTTCTTATATATCAAGGTGTGGGCAACCAGGTAGTTTTGTTTAGCCATTACACAATAGGCATGACTGTTCGTCAACTGTATGGAAAATGGAAGAGGTAAACTCTTTACAAACAATAGTAAACTGCACAAATTTGACCTTAAATGACATACCAGGTGTGAATCTTCAAGAGAATACGAATTTCTCTAAGTTTACACATAAATCTCACTATTGCTAGAAGCTCCAATCATATGATTGAATCTTAACACCAGTACCAAGTATTATGCATCAGGGTTTCACACCACCTGTTGGTCATAATTATTAGTGTTAGTGTTTATTTATTTATTTTTATATTTCAATAAATTTAAATTTACGCCTAAACTTTGAAATAATCGATTTTCAGAAGGCTGAAAGTGTTTTCAAACGATTTTATTCACTGTGTATGTTGAAAAAAATAATAAATTACTGTCATTTCCATCCGACCTAATGAGTCTTCTGAATGTGTAATTCACTATATATAAAGATTTGGTTCAATAAATCATCAACACTTATTTTATTTCGTCTATGTTAGCACTGAAGATGTTGTCTTGGCAATGACAATAAAAGGTTTTGTAACTAAACTATCCAATTCAAGGAATGCACAACAACATCAAAATACAACCACCTTAGCTGCGCAAATCTTTTCCATAACATATCCTTATTATATAACCTAAGACAATTATTGCGTATTTTTGAATTTTTCAAAATGAATAGTCAGGTAAAACGTAAAGGAGCAAAGAAGAATGCACATAAATCTCAGTACATCACCGACTGGCCGTGATAAGTTATAGGTCTGAGGTTGACATGAAGGCGATCATATGAAAGGGAAATGTAAAAAAGGACAATCGTCGATTCAGTTAAAAAAAAATACGACAGAAGACAGAGTGAATTGGTGTTGTACTGCTGAAGCTGCATGTTACTACCCGGAATCCATGGGACAAATAGTAATTAATAATATAATGACTGACTGGTTCCAACGTAGAACTTTGCACAGATGGGTAGCAGTTCGAGTCGCTACACTTCACTTGACACAAATAGCAAGAGAAGAGAGTAAAGAGAGATTCAAAAGAGAGATATTAAACAGAAATATGAGGTGAAAAGAATAGTTATATGGAAGAACAATACAGTTTTATTGGATATTATAAGTCACAAACAATGAATGCATCTACTCTAGCCATTGAGAACGATTTTCAGTCATATCACCGATTGTCTCCAGCCACCATCAGTTTTTATCATCCCGAGGACCCCAACCAGGAAGTCTAAACCTTCTTACGTGACTTAAACTAACTGTTGTGGATTGATTGACTTATGAAGCCATGTTTTGGTTTGACCATCACTAGCTAACTCTTTTCCAGTCTGATCCAATATCGTCGCCCGTCGAGAAAGGCGATGGCTAAGCATTCATAATATAATATCAACCTCAAGTAATTGGATGATCTTGTGTTGTATTGTGGATGTGAATTTTTAGAACATCTGTGGTCAAGATAAAACACCTCTCGAGTGATTTTTGGCTTCCAGTCGTTCCATTCAGCGTTAGTTTACAAATCAAAAGCCAAGTTGGATTCAAAATGCATGATACAGTTGACTGGAATTAGACCTAACATCATATCAACTTAAGTCTCAAGTAAGTTCATATATATTTTATTATAGGGATTATTATGATAGATAGTTCTATCAGTCTACCGATAATATGCCCCGCCTGTAACTGTGCTCAGACCAAATATTAAATTCTTAAGAATTATGCCTAATAGAAAAAAGTACATATATATTCCATTGATTGGTGAAATCTTAATTATTTTTGGGATTTCTCTAGTGGAATATATTTATATATCTTTTTTCTATTCAGGTGAAATTCTCTTAGAATTTTTCTTCTGATTGGTGAGCAAAGTTTCAGGTGTGTCAACAATCGGTTGAACATCATCAAATATAACGTTTATTCGTTTTCCATTCCCTACTTATTTTTCCTCGTTAACGTTTTTTCATCTCTTATGTGTATTTTTTAAAAATTCCTTTACGTTCATATTGGAACATAGGGCTTCAAGCTAAAGGCTTGAGGTTTCTGTAGCAGTGGTGTTTATTTTTACGGGATGGGGTGGCTAGCCTCATACCCAGCCTTCCCTCTTTACTAGTCTTATTACTGGGTCAGTGAGGTAAAGGAGTGAGTCGGCCGGGGATCTAACCCCGTAGCAAATGCCTGGTCGATAAGCATTCTACCGCTGTGCCGCCACCGATGCACTATTGCGTGTATATAAGTAACTAAATTATGTGAATATGCAATTGTCGCGCCACATGATAGAATTAAAGTTATTTTAGGACTGATGAAATTCGGACTAGATGCATAACAAGTCAATGTGT